TGACTGAATAGGCTGTTTAATGTCAACGTCGTACCAATATATATTTCAAGTAAGATATAAAACTGTAGTTTATTTATGGGAAATTATGACTATCAACTCTTCCTTTTCTATTCCTAGAGTTCTGAACCTCTGCCAATTAAAATCAGTGCAGAAGAAACAGGAAGTCAGAATACAAATCAGCATTTTCAACACAATGAGTGCGTCAAAAAGACTTCCTTTCCTTAGAAGAGCTTTCATTTAGCTGATTTGGTAGTATTGCTTTTGCACAATTAAAAGACAAAAACCTAGATATGTTTCTTTCAATAATCACTTATCTAGAGCGGTACCATAAAATACATTCTCAAATATTTGATTCGGAGAAAAAACATGCATGTTGTAAAATTAAAGATGCTGTATGTATATCAATCTATAGTGGAATTCAAGAATTAACAAGCAAGGTACTTTGAAGACTGAAATAAAAGTATACATAACCACAACTCAATTATATGTATTGTGAAGCCAACCACATTAGCATAAAAGAAATTATATTGAGATATTGTTTCTGCTATATAGATGGTGCATTAAAGAGAAATTCTTTCGTATAAAATTCACCATCTTACTGTTTAAGATGCTTTTTAAAAAGAATCTAGTGGAAAATGTAAATATGATAAATATACATTTATATTGATATATGCATTCTTTCAAGTATACTCTGTGATAAAGCAAGTGTTGTTGAGTTTAATATATAAAGCAAACCAACAGCCTATTAATAAATTGATATTGATGGTAAAGTAGAAGAGAAGCTTCATTGCAATCAAAGCTCAGTACGTAAGAACCAAAGATGATATGTTTAAAGGGCCAGCAAAAATACCTTTCACTAGATAGCCAGATATCTATCTGAGCTCAGTTCAAAATGCTATTTTTTTATATTAAAAATCCTGTCGGAAACCCCATTATTTCTAGGAAATCTTCCTATTGAAGAACTGCATCACCGGGACTGCTGAAATTAATGGCCACTGGATTTTTTTTAGAATTAATTAATTCTAATTTGTTCTGGCAGCCCAACTCTAGCCCAACATCCCCAAGAGATGCAGGGTCTTTCATGTTGAAACTCTGGAATGCCTTCTTAGCAAACAACAACATGAGTCTGTTGCATATCCCAAAAGTTACTCTTTTACACTGGGCCACAAGGATTAAACTGAGGCTGCCAAATATTTTCTACTATATGGATATGAAAACACCTAACTGCCTTGGAAAGAACTGGGAAATGAAGTAACTTCTTGAATTTGGAATTTCTATAAACCTTTACGTTCAATCAGTAAATTGGCAAATAACATGAAAAGGACGTCTGCCACCACCTAAGCAAATGAGGAAGTTTCCCTCTCTCCCTTCTGGGAAGATTTTAGGGGCCAAATTCAGGAGTATTTAAGGAACCATCTTCAGGGTGGTAGCTTGAACATGTAGCAATCCAGTCTACTAATATGCACAACATATGGGATGTTATATATTGAGAAGCCAGCATAAACTAAGCAACACCATGAAAGAAATTCAATTAACTGCATTAAAGTCATAGTAGATTCCAATATTCTGTTTCTTTTTCACTGCTGATGATAGTCCCAA